ATCACTCTTTCCAGTCAATGGAGGGAAGGTGTCCCATCTGACTGTAGCAGGGGAGAGGTCCTGTTTAACACTGAGCCCAGCCTAGGCCCTCTAAGTCAGGCTCATGCTCACATGGGAGTCAGTGTGTCACCAGTGACAATGTCTCACCCAGCTACCAGTGTCTACTCTATTAGCACTCACAGGGCCCAACTCCCAAGGAGACAGCCACACCAATCCTCCCAGATCAGCTCATATTAACCCCCTTGTTGATATAAAGCCTGAGTCCATCCCACAGCTATCAGGTTCTCTACCCAAGGAGAGTACATGGGCTTTACCTTTCAAGCTTAGCCTGACAGGATATCAATCCTGACCAGTCAGAGGTAGGTGGAAGGTATAATACAAAGAATTTATTTGGACCCTCCAGCCCACCATAGTCCCACACCTGATCTGAAAGGCCCGTTTGGGACAGACCCCTCTCTCAGGTTCCAAGTCTACATCCTGACTGGAGAGCAGGCTCACTCGGTGCTCAGGAAGACCCTCTTGCGTGCAGTGTTGGTATAGGGGTGCCAGCGCCATTCCACATCTGCTGTGGCCTCCTGCTCCAGTGTGCCCAGGCGAATCATATACACTGGATACAGAGGGACAGGACATTATCATCTCAACCAACCTCTCCTCCTTTACCCYCTCTAAATGTGGGATAAACCTCAAACTCACATTTCATCTCAAATCGAGGTCCAACCTCAGTTAGCTCCACATTGCGGTGGTCCACCTTCTTGTAAACGTGGTGCCTGAGGAAAAGAATGTGGCAGGAGTGTGAGCTGGAAAATGCTGTGCGTCAGCCATAGTATGAAGGACACATAGGCCAGGATGCCAGCCCAGGCAAAGCCCAAAGACCCACCGGAATGAGATATAATCATCCTGGTTTGCAAAGGTGATGACCCGGTGGCTGTCATCTTTGGGCACAGGGAACAAGTAACGGAGGATGTCTGAAACCTGGAGTACAAAGAAGGAAAGCAGCAAATACCTGGCCTGGTCCCCAACTCTTTCCCCAAGGCCCCTAGACTTACCCGCTTGCCCAGCCGGGAGGAGAAGCCATGCGTGATGAGATGAGGCTTAGCCTCTGAYACGGTGTCCAGGTCAGGGATGTCATGTCTCATAACCACATTACATAGTGTGAAGTAAGCAGTAGGGCCAAATGGCAGGTGGCTGATGATAAGCCCCACTGTAAAGGCCAAATGTGCTGTCAGAGACCCCACCTGGCCTCAGGAGACCTCCAGACCCATCTCCCTCCCACCAGCCTCACCAGGTGTGCCTCGGTGTTCATGTACAACCAGGAGGTCAGTGACCCCGTTGGCTTTACAGGCTCGCACTAGTGCCCCCACCTCATGCCGGCCTCGGTTCATGCGCTGGGCACCCGGGAACACAAGCTTTAACTCCTGCACATGGATCAGAGAGCCCATCAAGAGTCACAGAAGCTGGCAAACATTCCAGTGGGGGAATTTTCTATGACTCTTAAATCTTAAGATTAGGGATGCTAGTCTTAGATGTCCCCCACTCGCTTCCTGCCCACCAATACCTTTGCAAACATCTTCAGGCGGGAACTGGGATCCCGGGAGGTGGTGATCATGACCTTAGGATCCTCGACCCCAGCCCATCGATATTCATCATCTACATGACTGGTCACACCTATTAGGAGTATGAAGGGACAAGAATTCAAAATTTTGGGGGAGTAAACTGCTAATCTGGGAACAACTAAATCTGTCTGAGAAATCTTCGATGACGGGAATGCATCACATTCACAAGAGCTAAGAGGTGGCCACTAGCCTACTGGCTACCAAGCACAAGTACAACCGAGGGATGGAATCTTCCATGTTTGCAAAAGTCTAGATTCTGTTGACACACTCATCTGCCTCACAATAAACATCTAAAGTGTTTGTGATTTCTTCCTTGTTTTTGAATAATGCAATACTTGAAACATTTGAGTGCCAATGTCATGCTGGGTGCTAGGGACATTCTCCTGAGCTGGCAGACATTCCAGTAGGGGAGATGATTAGAAAGCAGAAAATAAGTCAACCACTACTGTGTTGTATAAATGGAACTGGAAGCACTTAGGGAAAGCCCTTATAGTACCATGTATGCAGACACAAGGGCACCTAGGGAACAGTTCCAGGAACAGTTTCCATGGAAACTTTCCTTAGGTGGGCAAGTACCCAGTGTGTCTGAGGTTAGGGAGGCTAGTGGGCAGAGGAGTTGGTTCAGTGTTAGGGAGGGCTATGCAGTATATGGTCACCTTCACCACCGGCATCATCGAACTCCAGGGACCCCTGCAAGGCCAGAGCCTCCCGGCGTAACTCAGTGGGAATCAGGCGGTTTTCTGTAGGGGAAAAACATAGGCTGAGTGAGACATAAGCAAAAATGCTCTCATTTTATACTCTGCAGCTTACAGGAGTATACAAATTTGATGAAAAAATGTTACTCCTTCCTGAGCAGAGGCAATACAGAATTATTGGGAGAAAGAAAGGCAACAGATTGGTCTATTTGCCAATCTGTGGTCACAGGGAACTTCATTTTCTATGACTCTTAAATCTCTAAAAACTTTTTAGAATATTTTACCACAAGCATACAGTCAGAAGAAAATTTAAAAATTAATTTTTTTAGGGCTGGGGGTTTAGCAGTAGAGTGCCTGCCTAGCATGCATGAAGTACTCAGTTCTATTGCTAACAATGAAAACAAAATCAACTATTATTAATATTTTTGTGATGCTGAGGATCTAACTCAGGGTCTTACGCATGCAAGGATGTACTGCTAAGGTACATCCCAGGCCAAAATTAATTTTTTGTTTTTGGTACTGGTGATTGAACCCTGGGCCTTGTGCATGCGAGGCAAGCATTCTACCAACTTAGCTATATCCCCAGCCCCCCAAAATTAATTTTTTAAAGATACATAAATGTCCTACCTTGTAGGAAGGTAGGCCAGCAACCCTAAAACCCTCAACAATAAATCCACTCATTATAATGCAGAAAATGCCTCAGSTGGCTTTGGTCAGAGATTTCCTTTGTGGACTAAGCAGGGCTGGCTGGGGACTGTGCTGTGGAGTACCACCCCCTCCAACTCTGGTATACGGAACGAAACCTGAGAATACCTGTGTGCCCAGCTCTGCTCTCCAGCTTGCTCTGGAGGCACACTTGCACATGGAAGGGGAAATCCTTTCAGCGCTTAAAGATTAAGATTCTTGTAACCCAATATTGAAGGGAGTAAGAACAAACACCAAGGGGGAGATATTTATAAGATCATATAAAAAAATTAAAACTTTGAAAGAACTTGCATAYTGTAAACAAAGTTAACAAGCTGATTCAGCATAAATAACAAGTAATTGACACCAYCACATGGAAGGAACATTCACAAACCTAACAGGTGATAAACCCAGCCTAATTCCCTCAAGATTGGGAGCTATCTCCTCACAAAGGCATGAAAAGTTAATTTTGGCTTTACTATAAATTACTGCGACTTCTAAAATTCCTAYSCATGCCTTGAACTCACCCATGCCTGGTTTTCCCTGACCAGATAACAACCCTCTATGAAACTTTAGTAGAGCCTTATAAATTCTGGCTTTCCCTGGCCATATAATGACCCTCTCTGAAACTTTAGTGGTGCCTCATAAATTCTGATGTTGGGATCTAAATTTACTCCCTAAGTGCTGGACCATTAACCTACTACCTGTCTTTGTGTTATGCTTGTCAAAATCCTGTTATCTGTAAGTTCTCAAGACACCCCACCCCTCTTTTTGCAACCTTCAGTGCTATAAAGCTGCGCTCCTAGCGAGTTGCGGTGCTGTCTTCTATTCCTACGGGCTTCGGGAGAATCAGCTCCCCAGGAGTTACAATTACAAGCTTGTTTTAATTTGATTTAAATTGGAGTCTGTGGTCTTTTCTTTGCATCGTGGTTTAACACAGGAAAGTAAAGCGGGCAGTAAATACTGAAAACGTGCTCGTCCACACTAGCACAAACAATCTAGCATTTTGTTTTACACAGTTGGATTACACGGTCTTTGAAATGGTTCGTCTTGCCCTGCAGGGACTGGGTAGCTTACCTTCCAGCGCGCGACGAACTTTCTCCTTCTTCTCCTGGGCCGATCGCTGGGCATCCTCGCGGGCCTTTCGGTACAGGTATTCGCGGCGCAAGCGGGCCTCACGGCGCAGCTGGGGAACACAAGGCTGTCACTGTTTGCCCCCAAACCCCAATTCCATAACCCCAGGCCTCTGCGAGCCCCCCACCCCTAAAACCGGAGTTCAAACATCCCTCCTACCATTCTGAGCGCCGCTTCCACGTGAGTCGAGAACCTGTGGGCGTGGTCGGCGCGACCGGGGCCTTCACTTCCGCCCTCAACCAAAAAGGTCGCTAGAGGTTTCGTCAGAGTCTATCGCTGTCAGAAGAATGCCCCAYTTTAAGATGGCGGAAGAGCGGAAGGGGTCGCAACCAATCAGTTGGAGTCAGGAAGCCGTTAATAAAGATGTCTGCTTCCGGCTTCACCACCCTCTACGCCAATGCACGATGCCCAGTTTTAAAACGATAAGCCGCTAAAACATAATTTCAGCTGAAAACAGCCCACCAACTGTAAAAGCGGCAAGACGAATGACTGGGTAGTTGAGTCCTAGAGACTCTGGCACTAAGTTTAAAGCCGCTGCTCCCTTAATGAAAATGGTTGTCTTACAACTTCGCCTTTTTACATAGCGGTAGTGCGGCTTTTAAAGTTCATTCGCTTCGTGAAGTAATTCATAACCCCCTTTATCTCTCGCCATCCGGTTGGCGGATTCGCTTGAGGAGCTAACCGGAGATACCAATTCATCCAAGCAGTTTCCAGGACCGAGCTTGCAGTTAAAAGGGGCAGCAGAGCCGGGAGACCAGAGGCTTCCGGGCTACGGTGGGGAACGCTTCTCAGGGGCGTGTTTAGCGCCCCGATTGGCTGTTGTGCCGGCGCAGCTGGCGGTGATTGGGTGACCAGGAAGAAGGTGGTTCCGGGGCCTCAGACCAGTTGAGGGCCGCGGGTGGCTGGCCCATGGCGGCGCCCGACTTAAGGGCCGAGTTGGACTCGCTTCTCCTGCAGCTGCTCAGAGACCTGGAGGAGCTGGAAGTGAAGCGGGGGGCGCTGAACGCTCGAGTGGAGGAGGTGGGTGCCTGGGGAAAGGGGGAAGAGCACACAGGCGTAAACTGAGTCTCACAGCTTTCCTCTCTTCAGGGCTGGCTCTCGCTCGCAAAGGCTCGCTACGCAATGGGTGCCAAGTCTGTAGGGCCCTTGCAGTATGCCTCTCGCATGGAACCCCAGGTCTGTGTGTGTGCCAGGTGAGGAACCTTCGACAGCGGAGGGAGGAGTGCAGGCCCAGGCCAGGGCTCTCAAAGRTCTATCTCCCCTTGTCCTTCAGTGAGACCCAGAACGGATTCCAGACCTTCAGGGTGGTGAGAGCAGATGCCCAGACTCCAGAGGAGGTGGGGCCCAGAGAGTCAGGTGAGTCCCCTTCCTCCTGTTAGGGACCCTACCCGATATCAAAGACAAAATGCCTCTGAGCTGTAGATCAGAATGTTTTAGTAGTGTGGTTTGGCTTTAGACGTTTATAGGGAGGATTTGAGAAGTTATATAGGTGGGTTGCATTACAGTTGGGGTAGTTTTGCAATCAAGGGAACTCTCAGCMGAACAGAAAATCTTATTATCTTAACTATTTTGGAGGAATAAGCTTATAATTCTAGTTGACTATTTGAGAGACAAAGAATGGGAAGTTGGGGTGGAGTGGTCCTTCCAGATGTTTCAGCACATTAGGCAAAATGGGTAAGACCAGTGTATGGCTTTGTCAAGGGAAAACAAGATCATTTGTGAGTTTTACTGGGGAGTCATGAGGAAGTGGACAGAGTATCATCTGAATCACAAGAGGAAAGGTGGTGCTATATCTAGGGACATAAAAGGTGGGGATTTCCCAACATTCAGTGTTTTTTAGAATCATGAGCTCAGAGTAAGCTCAACATTGTCATTAAGACAACAAAGTCCTGTAGTAAGACACCATCCACCTTCAACCTTTCTTTTTCCAGCTTTGCGCAGGCGGAAGGGCCCTACCAAAACTCCAGAGCCAGAGCCCTCTGCAGCCCCACAGGACCCCCTGAACTGGTTTGGAATCCTGGTTCCTCATAGTCTGCGGCAGGCCCAAGCCAGCTTCCGGGATGGTAAGTAGATCCTGCCATTTGGCCATGTGGCCCTGAATTATTTTTCTGGCTCTCTAACCAGAGAGCACTTGAGCAATAACATGTTAGGACTTTGCAGGTTTACTCCATTGCAAACTTTTGTTTCGTACCTGTTTTTTCCCCAAAAGGTACTCATTGGCTATTGTCAGTGTAGAATACAGTGGGGAACAAAAGGGACAAAGAGCCTTCMTGGAGACTTTATTCTGTGGTGGGGAGAAAGGCAATGTCAAATAAATGAGTAGGCCTTTAATATAACGTCAGTCTGTGAAAACTGTGAATAAAGTAACACAGAAAGGAGTGGGATAGGAGTGAGCTAAGGCAGCTATTTTATGAAGGATGGCCAGGGAGGGTCTGTCTGAGGAGATGAAGAAAAAGCTGTTTGGGTGATCTGGGGGAACAGAGTTCAATGCAGAGAAGCCCTAAGGGGAGATATTCTTGGTGCATTGGCAGAAGAACAGAGATGAGCCAGTGGCTAGAATGGAGTCAATTCAGCATGAGTGCCAGGAGTAAGGGCAGGAAGGCCAGGCCCTGGTAATGTAGGCCCTAATGAGGACTTCCAGAACCATGAGGTGGCTCTGACCACAGGATGGTGCAGTAGAACTCACAGGGTAACAGGAATCCTTTAAGATACTGAGTAGAGATAGATTAGAGAACAGTGAGAAGTAGCAGGTGCCAGAAGCATCCAGGAATGAGAAGCCAGTGAAGGTGGGGTAAACAATGGGAACTTGCACATGTTTTGAGAGGAGAGGCCTTGGCATTTGCTGACAGATTGGATGTACRGGTAAGGGTAAGAGAGTTCAGGAGAACCCATGGTCTTCACCCACAACCCTGGGAGGATGGAGCTGGAATGGGCAGGCGGAGTGGGCATGCTGCAGGGCAATAGGTGGAGGGAAGTTGGTAGRTGAGAATGGTTGTGCCTGTGTTCTTATATGCTATATGGTGTCCACAAATTCCCAGGTGGAGTGTTTGGGTGGTTAGTTGCATGTCTCTGGAGTGTTATAAAGGCCTGAGCTGGAGAGAGATTTTACAATATGCTGCGAAATGCTGTTGTTTAAATCCACAGTTTGTTGACACAGATGTGCAGGGTTAAAGCTGAGACGGGATGAGATCTAAAGAAAGCCTGGGAGTGTGAATGGGAGGTGTGGGAGAGGAGACTTCTGGAACAGTGCCCAGAAGGTGGGGTGTCCCAGAAGCCAAAAGGAGAAAGTTGCTTCCTGGAGGGAGCAGTGAAATAGATGTGTGATCATCCCTGCTGTGAATGGGAGGCTGAAAACTGAGGACTGACTGGAGACTGGGTGRTAGGGAGGACTAGAGACATTGGCAAAAGTTACCTAGAGGTGGATCCAGAGTATGGATCACTTTCAGGGACAGAGAAAAAAAGGTGGAGGGAAGGAGTGCCATGATGGAAGGAGGAAGGGAATGAGACCATGGAGAAGGTGTTACCATCCATGAGGTTTTCATTTCTGCTGGATGATAAGGCGGGCAGGGAAGCTTTCTGAAGAGATGACATTTTATCACAGACCTGAAAGAAGTGAGRGTATGGGTGTGTGTCCAGTGAGGTCTGGGAGCAGCCAATGATTTGCCATACCAGGAACATTTTAGGAATAGTGTGAAGGCCAGAGAGGCCTGGAATCTTTGCAGTCCCTGGGGAGTCAGGCAGAGCTTCTGAGTCATGTGTCATWCTATCATACCACGGTGACATTTTCTCTTCTTTCCCCCAGGCCTACAGCTAGCTGCAGATATAGCCAGCCTCCAGACCCGTATCAACTGGGGTCGAAGCCAACTCCGGGGGATCCAGGAGAAACTCAAGCAGCTGGAGCCTGGGGCTGCCTGACTGTGTCCACAGAGGCAGGCACTCAGCCCAGCAGTTCATGGATGTGGCTGTCTTTTCTCAGGCATTCTTCCTTCATAAATAGTCCCTGCTCCAACCTCCAAACCAGCTAATGCCCTCTTCTTAAAATGTCATTGGTCTTCATGTTTTCGACTTTGTTAGGTGTGAAGTTCAAAGTTTTTAATCCTATGTTCACATTGTGAGATATAAACATTTCTTCCCAAACTGAGTAATATGAAAG